ATGTTTTCTATTAATATTATTAAACATATATATATAACGCACGTGTTATCGTATATTCTTTATATTGTTACCGCATAAATCTGTTGCTTATAAAGTTTTAGCTGTATAAAAACTCGTTTAATTAATACCTAACGTTTCTTCTTGCAGTTAGAATATTGGGAACCAACTGTTGATTTTTAATTATGGATTGCCATTTCTGTGTATTTAATATTTATTGTAAAACTTCTACCTGATGAATCAATTAAAACGAAAACGTTATACACATTCTTAATCTTTTTGTGTTCTTACATACACGACAGATTATATACTTTATATAATATTTGAATATTATTTTAACCTGCTTGGCAGACATTACTCACTTGTCTAGAATAAGAAAAACCGTCATGTTAAAGCTAATAATGATTCAAGAAAAACGAAAAAAAAATGAATTGGCAACAATAGCAAGTTCGAGTTTCGTCCATCTTTCCGAGTGAGAATTAATTCTGGCATAATTGAATAAGTTTGATCAAGTAAAAAGTAATTAACAGTCATCACTGAATGAGTCTTGATCAACAAACAATAATAAAAAGTCATCATTGAATGAGTCTTGATCAAGAAAACAATAACTAAAAGTCACCACTGATTGAGTTCTGATCAAGCAAATAATAACTAAAAGTCATCACTGAATGAGTTTTGATCGAGCAAACAATAATTAAAAGTCATCACTGAATGAGTTTTGATCGAGCAAACAATAACTAAAAGTCATCACTGAATGAGTTTTGATCGAGCAAATAATAATTAAAAGTCATCACTGAATGAGTTTTGATCGAACAAACAATAACTAAAAGTCATCACTGAATGAGTTTTGATCGAACAAACAATAACTAAAAGTCATCACTGAATGAGTTTTGATCGAGCAAACAATAATTAAAAGTCATCACTGAATGAGTTTTGATCGAACAAATAATTAAAAGTTCTATTAAGTGATGATGTTCACGAAGTTTGAGCTATTATATGTCTGTTAGATACAGCTTCTGTGAATAATCTTATTAATCAAATCCTGTCTTGAAAGTTTCCGGACATGACTGTTTTATCCTGTTATATACTATCGTAGTCGAGCTCCATCTTGATATTTCTTGGTTACTTTGGGTACCATCATAGTAACTGTTGCAATGGTTTTGTAACCCCTTCCCACACACACACACACAAACTGCCAACGAATTATAATCTCGTAATCGGCTGGATGCTTCATTGGTCATATTTAGTATTATTTGAACTCATTTTAGAACTGTACCAGCTTGGAACGAGCTTAAATTGAGCACAATCTTTGTGTTCAATCTTACCGATTGAAGCCATCCTACTGTTTTGTTGACAAACTGGTAGTCTTTCTTGTGTGTTGGAAGCAATCTGAGCATGCACATTTTCTACTTCGTCATTTTTAGTGGAGTCTTGCTCACAGGATTGTTTTTGAAAAACAGAATAAAATATCTTGGGAGATTTTAGGGGGAAAATATCAAGCTCTTTTTTAACGAAACAGAAAATTCCACTGAAGTTTATTTGAACTAAGTTAGGAAATGTTTGGCCTACAACAGGACGACAGACTTTCAGTAATCCACAACTTGAGGCTGTTTTGTGTAAGATCTCAAGAAGATTTACATTTGAATTGTCAATTGCCAGCACAATACTCTCTGGTTTGATTGATGTGAAAATTTTCTGAAAACAAAGAAAAAGTAATTTAAATTTTAAATAAGGATTTCGATCAAAAAATTGAACTAACAATTACAACAACAAACAAGAAACATAAAGTTTTAGCGGTCCTTGAATATGAAATTTAAACTTCACGCGAAGTATGGGAGATTACTTCAACAGCCAAATACATATGTCTGAACCAAATGCTCACCACATTTTTCTATAATATATGACATCATTTCTTAATGAAATAAAACCTTATTATATGTCCTGGCATTAAACAGTGTATGCATAACTTGAATGAAAGATCGTGGTAAGACCGAAAAAAAATTACAATGTCATGTTTAAATTTACTGATTATTTATTTATCAATAGTAAACTTACACGCTTTGTTAGTTCTTGTTCTTGGAAAATTTGATCTTAAGCAGTGAGTATAATATTTTTATTTATTTATTACTAGCATAAAATATTCACACTCCGCTGCAGGATTTTAAGGTACCCTCATGATTCACAGAGGCCTCAATGTACCAGTCAAGCGTCTCCATTATCTTAATTACTTCTATAGCTACCCTGAAGCGCCAATTCTGTACCCTTTACTGCACATTACACAAGATTTTAGTGTCTTTCATTCAACATTTTATTAAACTACTTTTTGTTTATGTTATACCAATTAGAATAGCATAAAATCTTAGCTAATAATCCATATTTTAATAGTATACAAGTTTTAAGTTCTTAATTCTACAAGGAAATATATAAAAAATCTTGAATTTCCACTAGTGCGACACACTTGTGTCTTAGAATGTCATCATCCCTATTTTATCCATCATCCATCGAAAATGTACGAAATTAAACGTAAAATATTCTCTATAAAATCGTTTTGCTCAAACAGACAATACTTTTATAGCTTTCAATTTTGTTTGGTTACAGAGCTATCAAATAGACAATCAGACCCTTCCTGCCACACCCACATCCTCTCTTTCACAATTGGTTGATAGTTCTCTCTTAGTTTCATTATATATTACCTATAACCAATAGCAAGTCAAGGTTTTCATCTATCAAGTGGCATATTCTATAACGTTGTGTTCTGAACAGATAACGGTCAATTTCACTCGGAGCAACAACATGTTCTCGTGGGAAAGATAAGGACTAGTTTGGATGAATTTGTAAAGGCTCTTGTGGCATAGTTAGAAAG